ATTCCGAAATCAGAAATTTTGCTGCAGATTTTTGATCTTGGTGTTTTGTTAATAAATTCATAAGCAAATTTTAGAACTTCTCTTTACGAATCAAAGCATATTGGATGTTAAGTAGTTGCCTTATATGACTGTGGTTATTTAAAGTCATATCTAAAGGGAATTTCAAGACCGTTTGCTAATGCTTCACAACTCTTCACACATACACTGGCATGTAGATATTGGTAGCTATTAAAAGGCTCTGAAACATTTTTGATGCTGTGAATAAAGCTGATAGCATCAGCCAGTCTTACTCTATAGTAGGGGGTTTCAGTTTGAGTTCTTTTAACCAGTTAAATGAAAAGTCAGATCAGCTTCTCTGAGGATTTCTTCACTTATCTAAAAACTCACTGCAAATCTGTCTCCCACATTTATTAAAACTGTTATTGAAAATATCCTCAGTTTGACCTTATGTAAAAAATAAAAAACCGAATCATCCCCTTAACTTAGAGATGTTGAAATGATTGCCAACATTTCCAAATCCATCAAGTTTCATGAGAGAATCTAAAAGCTCAAAGGGATAAAACAGCAGCTTTGTGGTAATACATCCAGCCTTCCTGTTATCAGCTAAAGTCCTATCTCTCACATTGTAAATGAAGTGTAACATGTTCTAACATTCCTCTGTGGAAAATCTGGTCTCATTTAAATGGCTTCTTGCATCATGTTTTTCATCTTTCTTATTTTTTTCAGTAACTCATTAAGGGCCTGATCTTCAGAGGGTTTTCTAGATTCAAAACACGTCCAAACTTGTTTTTGCCTAAATCAATGTGCAGATGACTGAAATTGAGTATTATGGCATGTTTTATTGAAATTAAAAATAGAATATTGAAAGCCAAATGAGAATATTCATCACAATATTTGTAAAGGTAGGGAACATGATGCTTAAATTGTGCATCACTTACTTGTAGCAAACATTTTTTTTCTCCTTCAATGTACACTGGGTCAAGCAGCTGTTGGGAAGAGTTGATGGAGATAAATCCAGATTATGCTCTAAATCTGACTGCGACTCTTTCTTGATCAGTGAGAGGTGATGAAGGGCGGTAGCGGGAGGAGGGCAATCAGCACACAGAGACAACTTTCTCATGTTTTATGTTTTTTTTTTTTTTATTTAACTGAACCTTTAATTATTTTGTTGTATTATTATTTTTTTTTGTTTTGTTTGAAGCATTTTGAGATGAGATACATTTGTAAAGTGCAATACAAGTAATATTTCATTTTAATATAATTATTGTTTAATTAATTAGTCTCATTATTACCTACATCCTAGGTGCTTAAAAATTCTTCCTTTTATGGACACTCTCAAACTGCCTAGACTACACACAATTTGCCCCTTTTAACAAGAAGGTACCAAATTGGCTTACAAATCCAAGCTCAGAATCACCAGCCGAATGCTCTGTGAATTTCAATGGAGTCTTCCATCACTGTCCAGGTTTACAGTTCCTATTTAATAGCTTTCCAACAAAAACACAGGAAATGAGAGAGAAAAATTAAAAGTAAACACTTTTGTTCAGGGCTTCTTTTATTTGTATGGCCTGAACCTAACTTTCACACCTAACTCCAAACCCAAGAAAAACCTTTAAGTCTCAACAAATTAGCATATTCCTGGGAAATTGGCCCTATACTGTCACCACAAGGTAGCAAACACAAAGCCACAAACAAAGGGTATATGCATACTGGCTGTGTCAGCAGACAGTAAACCATAGGTATTGCATTATTGATGAGTCCAATCATTGATTACAAGTAATAAGTGCTATTGATGATAGGTGTGAAGAGTAGAGAAAAAGTGTTGATGTGTAGGTTTATGTACAGCTGCATTTCCCAACAGGCTGCAAAATGGCTTTTGAATATGTAACGACTTTTGTAGCACTTAAGGTTAGCTGATGGATTTAAGATATGGCATTAGAGGAAAAAAAAGCTTTTCTAAAGAATTCACACTTAACTTGAAGGTGCAGATTGGATTTTAGTTTAGTAAAGTGTTATAATTATTAAATCTGCAGTTCAGTATATTATTGTCTCTTTTGCACGTGAAGTCCTTCCTAATGCATTTTGGTTATTCTTAATGGAGGCAGAATAAATAACCTGATTAATACATTTTATTACTAGACATAACTGCAAGGGAAGTAACAGACAGTACAGCACTTACTAGAAGAGTCAGACAGCAGTAGAGAGTTAATGAAAGATTTATACAGACTCAATTACTTTTTAAAACAGTTGCCAAAACAATGACTAGTTAAACAAAATCAAAACTTTCAGTCTTCAACATTTTGTTGCGTAATGAGGTACACACATATCAGATCCTCTTTTATTTCACTATTAGTGCGTAATCTACGAAATTAAATGTTGCTGCAATGGGGAAAGCAAGCAATGAATATCCTTATGTAACGACATGAACCTTAAAGATGAGAAAAAATGTGTTTAAAGTCGTTATATGAGCCATATACTGCAGATTCTTCTCTAATCAATTTAAATCTTAAATACACTTCCTGCAAGAATGAGTTGTAATCTGTAAAATTATTCAACAGCTTCATGAAAACCCGCTGACAAGCCTAAATTCTTTTAAGTGTATCCTCGACAGATTATTATACCAGGATCCCTCTTTAAAATCACATATGATTAGACTATTATTTCCCATTTTAGCAAGTCAATCTGAAGCCCCGAAACTGGAGAAAAACACTCTAAATGGTATTTAGCTGCTCTAATACATGCAGCGGCTGGAGGTCGACTCTGACCTTTCGCTGCACAGCATCTCTCCTCCACTATGATGGTTACATCCCTCTCATTTAATCTGTTGCTCTCTGGACTCAGTTTTACTGTGCAAGTCTGCTTCATTATACCAAGCATATGATTTTATGTGATTTTTATCGCGAGCACACGCAGACACATGCACAAATACGAAGTGACATTTTTACAACTAATAATGCACATGTACTTACAGTATATAATCCCAGCATCACAGCCTATCCTGCTGTCATGATGTGATGGACAAAAAAAAGCTACTGATGACAGCATGAGCTCAAGGAGCAGAGAAAATATAGCAAAAAGGTAATTAGATATATCAGCAGAACAATCTCACTTTTAAGTCTCTATCAATGCTTTGTCAGATCAGCAAAAGTGTTCTTTAGATTAGTGCTTGTCTGATAAATTGCATTACATCTTTGATCAAAGATCTGGGAGTTGAAGATATTGGCCCTCAGATTTTTAATGGAGAATAAATTACCGAGGAGAAATCAGAGTGTGTGCCATTGAGAGAAATACTGAGGTAAGAGGGAAGCAGCAGACTCTGCAGATGGATGCTGATTAAATATTGAAGGTCAAAGGTGTTGATTAGGAATGAGCCCATTCACCTTAACAGATAATAACAAGCTGCACACACAAGCCTTGACCCCCTCTCTACAATTTGACCAGAATTTCAAAATGCTTTCCACAGGTTTTTTGTGCTTCTTTGTTTCATGTTTTTTTTAACTTTTATGCTTTAGCAACTTTTTTCCTATTTGTGCTTTGTGTCACATTTGGTTCATGGATAAGTCTGTTCAGCTTAGTGAAGCAAAGAAATTAATTTAGCTTCTATTATAACATGAATTTTAATTTAGAAAGTGTCAAAATCAGCCAAGTAATTTATTTTGTCATTGAAATGTTTTTGTTTCTCTTACAAATAAAATTATAAATGCAGTTTGTAAATAGTTAATTGCTCTGTAAGAAAGTGCTATGCCTAAAAAAAAGAACCTGGCCTTATGTGAAACAGTAGACACCTAATTAATCGGTTTTCTGATTGTTGCTGTAAAGGGCTGTGGTGCAGTTTTAAGTTATTGTTGAGTCAGGAATTTTCCTTACTCCTTTTTGAATAATTATTTTAATTCAGTCATATTCCAAATGCATTAACAGCCTCTTTAAAGCCCTCCCATATCATTTCGATTGGACTTAAGCCGTGACTTTGACTAGGTTAATCCAAAATCTATCCCAAAGTTTGACCTGCTGTCGTGATGATTGGGTCATCGTACTTACGCTGGCTCCCACTAAATGTGGTGCTGCTGCAGTATGGGCAATCCAAGGAATAAATATCACTAAAATCAAAGTTTACACCCACATCTGCAACAGTGCAGTTTAAGTTTTGTGGCTGATCAACAACATAATTTCCCAAGAGGGAAGCTTGGCCGGATGCTGCCGAGGCCTCTCCATCAAGCTCCTGACTTTCATAAGCCAAACAGGAAAAGTTAAATAAATCCACCAACCTATGCAAAATTTAATAGCAAAAACAAACGGTCAAAAGAAAGCGTTTGGAAACATTGGAGGATAAAAATGGATGTGCACTTATAACGAGTTTTGCCCTTGAAAAAAAAAACCTAGATTATCAGTCTGTCTCTCCTTTAAACTCTTGTTTCATATAGTCTTTTTTTAACTTAATTTTCTTGTGGTTACCATAGTAGGCTGCCTTATGATGCAATGTCAGATGACTTTTAATCATCCATATGAGGTAGTGCCTTTACATTTAAAGAAGACTTAATACAAAAAAAAACCTTAATTGTTTTGAAAAATGTGTTCTAAATCTTTTTATGTGCTTTGAAGAATAATCGGTAGGCAATCTGCAAAAAGCCAATATTAACCACATATACTTCAAATATATTTTTTGTTGTTGGTTTTCTTGGCAGTATAATATGTTCTATTTACTGGTGAATAAAGCAGTTTTCTGTTTTTTAAGGTTTCTCATTCACTATCTTTTTTCCTCTCAAACTATAACAGCTGCTACACACTCACTTTAATATAGAAGTTAAAAATAAATGGCAAAACTACTTGTGATTCCACTGTAGCCATACTCCTACATACCCCTCATATGAAACATGGAAACATTCTAAAGCATTTGTGTAGATGGCAATGAAACCTTATTTTTTAACTAATGACAACATATATGTGTTTTTTCTTCATGAACATTACAGCTTATATGTTTGTTTTATCCCGTCTTGTTGCAGTTACGTTGCTAGACTCCATGTCAGCACTGGCCGACCTCGGCTGGGAGGCTTACCCTATTGAAGGGGTGAGTATCTGCTCTACACACACACACAAACACATCCTATTCTTTCTGCTGGAGCTGTTAGCAGAATTATGTCTGATAAAATCCATTATGTTGTGTTTTCCGTTTTGGGAAACTGGGGAGTAGTTCAGAGAGCAAAGGGGTCTAAGTGGCTGTTGCTAAATTTGGGCGCTGGTGGGGGGAATTTTTCATATTATTCTGCTATGCTGAAAACACGACGGCTGTGAAGCATCAATTCCTAATGGGGCTGTAACTTTTAGGATGGAGTAAACGGGACCAATATAAGGGGTGTAAATATTCTTACGTAAAAGAAGATGGTGTATAAAGGTTTCTGGTATTCAGAAGAGCAGCATGCTGGGGATGTTGCATAACTGGCCTTTTTCATGTACCAGGACCAGGGGAGTCTGATGTGCAAGCACCATGACTCAGAAAATGACAGCCAAAAAAGAGGAGAGCAATATACAGAGGAAAAATAGGGAGGACAACGTTAGGGCTATGCTCAATAGAGTTAAATCTCTATATCAGTATAATACCATAGCTTGTTGAATGACTATTCTGTTTCCTCCAGATTTTTGTGTTTCCTCCGTGTCTTCCACTTTTAGCATTAGTATGTTAAATTGCAAGATGTCACATGCGGTTACATGCTTTGGTGCTGCTGAGACTCCGCTTAAGTGAGCAGAGCTAAGTCATGTTGCTTTCTCAAGCAATCAGGTGTTTAAGGTTATCCTGAGTGTTTTTGGGTCATACAATGGATGTTTGTGCATGCATTCTTTAATATTCCCATGGCTCCATATTGACCAATATCTCTGATAAAAGATTCAGTATAATTTAGAAAACATAAAGGTGACCTATTTTTTTGTGGTGAGTCTGGACAAAAAATACATGATTTGATTAGTTTCCAACTAAAACCAAATATAAAAATAAAATAATTACATTTATTGTTACTATTTTTCCTCATGAAATGTCGACATTGAGGTCAATTCCTTTATGATTGTTCCATTAACATTTGTAAAGATATAGTTTCTATTGACACACCTCTTTTGTTAAACAGAAAAATACTTAAGAATGTCACCTGAAGGTTTTGTGATGTCCAAAATGTAAATTAGCAGCAGCAGTAGAAATTAAGTTATAGACTTCATAAATTTTAGTGTATACACTGAAAAACTGGACTTTTTGGTCCTGTAAATATTACCTTGTTTTTTATGTAAAATATACTGCGTGCCGCCATGTAAGTGCCTTTACTTCAAAATTACACCTTTTATTTAATGTGTTACTCAGAAATGATTTGTAAATCTACAGTACAGTATATCCACAAAAAGACAAGTAAATTAAATTAATTATACCAGGAAATACATCTTACTAGCAAAACAGAATTACATCATTTGTTGATAATTTTGTAGTAAAATTGACCTGATTTTGTTTGTTAAATCAACTCTTCTTAGTAAAATCTAATTTGATTTTATTGAATATAATTTATAAGGAATATTTTTTATGGAACAAGTTACCTAGTTTGTTCTAAGTAAATGGTACCCCAATTTTTTTCAGTGTAAAGTATAGACAAGTTTCACAGGCATTTCCGGTTTTCTTCCACCACTAAGCTGATTCTGCCTCTTATTTTGGTTGAATGAGGTCAGTGTTTATTTTCAATGGATAGCGATTGCTCCAAGTGGGTATACTATAATTATTTATTAAAGAAGGTGAATTATCAATTCCTCATCCTGCTGTGATATTAAACTGAGAGGATAATAAGTCAAAATGGCCTGATGTTACAACCAGCAAAATTTTTTTGTACCTTGTTGAGTCGATGGCGGTAGATGGGAATGCCAGACAATCTGAAAGACTTGGAAGCTTATTACTGTAATATTTACATATAAAGGTGTCTGCATGGTACCATGCATGATGGCACATGCTCAACCAAGCCAGTGTTTCCGTGATTCCTGTTTGTAATTCTGATTAAAGAGGATAGAAAGCTGGAGACTGTGGGCTGTAACCCTACAGACCCGACTGATCATGCAGCCCCACAGCAGCCATCCTGTGATCACAGAGTTCACCCTTTTGACCCAACATGGTTTGGAAAAAAAAAGAAAACAATCCTTCTGTTCATCCATGTAGACACATGCACACTTAAAAACACAAAGAAGGGTACGTTCTGTGAAACCCGTCAATAGGGAATCTCAATTAAATCTATAAATAATTAAAGTTTTATTCAGTTTATTATCTCACATGTCTGATAAGGCTCAACCCTCTGATAAAAAAATACAAAGCGTTAAGGTTGGTGTTAACCTCCTTTTCATTAATCCCACATTTTTGTATTAATTAGCAAAGAGAGAGTGATGTTAGTTCTGCCAATGCATGAAGGCAGTAAGTAGGGAATGCAATTAAGTACATCTGTGGTTATTTAGCTGGTTTTGGGCCTAGGGCAGGGTGCTGTATAATGGAGAAAACAGCATAATGGATTTTCTTGGTTAATAATCAGTTTTCCCTTCCAAAAATGTAGATGTAAAAAAGAAACAGCTTTCAATCCGCAGGTCCTATTAAAAAATGTAGAGGATTAATAAATATTATGGTGAGACGGACTGAGATTATGTGGATATTTTGGCAGTAAGAGGTTGGAAATAAGTGTTTAATTAAATATTATTTTTTGTAAAGAAGTGTATTACTAAAAATAATTTCTCAATACTAAAATTATTTCTTAGATTTCACACTCAAAATAATGTAAATGGGCTTTTAGAATAAACATGGATACAGTTTTAAATTTAGCCATTTTAGGTTTAATACTTTACATTTACAATGTGACACAATCATAGCATCTAAATAGTTCTATGCGGAACAAACTTTACCTTGTTAAGAAATTTTGTGGTTTTTTAACATTTTGGAATATTGTGCAGAAACAGTGACTTACATGCCTAGTTTTTTTTTCTTTTTGATAGGGCTATATTATTTTAAAGGCTTAAATAAAACATGCTTTTGTGGCTGATTTTTTACGGTATGAACAGTACAGGAAGAGTTAGACAGTTCAGCAGATCACAGGGACTTTTTCTTGATGCCTTCTCCAGTTTGCTTTGAGTAAAGTATTTCTATGGCTGTATGTTTTTTTGTTTTGTATCTTTATAGTGGGATGCATGTCTTAGTCCACTTTAATCCCATGGAAATAAGACATTAACATATCTCTACTGTAAAAAAAAAAGAAAAAAGAAAAAACAGCACAAGACAAGGAGAAATATGTGTTGGTCACAGGATTAGGGAGATATTTTGCTCAGCAGGGTAATGGAATTTCTTCAGAGCTGAAGAAATTGATGAAGAAGGATGGAGCTGTTAAGTTTGACTTAAATGTTTTACTTGTTTTAGACTGCACGACAGAAGGAGTCAGACTGAAGATCAGGCTTTCGTCTCTGCAATAGATTTTATAGATTGTCAGCACAAGTTTAGAGACTGCCTAAGTTTTAACACTGGGAGGACAATGTTCCTACTGCATGTTATTGATGGTGATTATCATAGTAAAATAAAGCATTTATGTCCTTTTAGAGTTGTCATAAGACCAATCTTTAAAACAAAGCACTAAAATACATGACCAGGAACACTATAAAACAGGATAAAAATTAATTATAAAAATCACATAAAACCAATTCTATTTAGTTGGGTTTGAATTTGTGATTTCAATGTGGATAAGTTTTTACAGCAACAGATTTGTTGTGGGAAGTTCCTTGCGGGGAGCAGCTAGAGAGGAAACTTAAATTCAAATTAAATTGTATATTGAGACATTTCAGTTGCTGTTTACAAAGGATTAAAATACAGATTAACCGATCTTGAGTTGTTTTGCAAATAATAATGGACAATGCATAGTACTGGATACAAATATAGTCCACTGTCTTTAGAAAAAAAGGTTTTAAACCAACTTTTGTTTTTCTTTACTTCCACTTTATATGTATGCATGCTCTACTTGCATATATCTATCACATGGACTAAAACAACACATCAGATTTTGCTTTTGTAACATGACTCAATATAAAACAGTTACAAGGGAAGATTAATGGTCTACAGTTTTGCCAACAAAGATATGAGGAGTTGCCATAACTGTGAGAAGCTTCTGTGTTTCATATCAGAGGATTATCTAGTTGACCTTTGAACCATAATCCTGGGGATTATTCCCAGTGAGAGCCAATTCCCACTAATATGTGACCAGTGTCTACCTGAATTAGTCCAAAAGGACACTTGACCCTCACAGGTCACTGTTAATCCAGGTTGTGGTGGACCGGATATGGCAGAGACTGAGCGGAGCGACCCACTTCTGTCACCGTTTGGCGGGGGTTGCTCCTCACGAGAGACATAAAACAGAGACGTCCTAATGATGTTGGAAAAAGGAGCCCCCCCAGCCTCTCAACTCCCCCAGAGGCTACTCAGCCTTTTTTTCCCTCTCATGCGCTATCTCTGTTTTTCCCAAACTCCTCATCCTCTGCTAAGCCAGAGTTTGTAGGCCAATTATGTCCACGTAGGTGTAGTCATCAGATGGATGCAGGAGGATGGATTTTAAATTAAGCTTGTGAGTGGGTGAACTGAAACCTCAATCTGACATCTGTGCCTCACTTCAAAGTAATCGGACAAGCTTCAGACTGATGGGGCGAGGGGAGCGATGTGTTTTTTTTGTTTTTAACTATTATTATGAAAGTTAATGATGTTTGGAGAGAATAAACACTGGATAGTCTGAAGAATTCATGAATGGTATGCTCTTGAGGAGGGGATCTAAAGTACAGAAGGAGTCTTAACTTTTGACCCTCTCCACACATTTCCCAGTTGTATTTTCAGCTCTCAGGTCTTCTGCCCAGGAGCTTTTGTGTCATTGGCAGATTTTGGGTGCGAAAAAGTTGATTCATACCCACCTGCGCTTTACACCAGGAATAAGTGATGATAAACAGACTCGCCAACTAGGGAAATAAGTCGCTCACCAGGAAATGGCAGTAATCCAGCCACTCCAAACTCTGCTTACAAAGAAATAAACAAAGACA